ATCACTAATCGAGGGAAGTACTGCGATTAAGGCCATGGACCGGGATTTTAGGCCAGACTCAGTCAACCTACAATTCGATGAGATTTGGAAGTCGAGCCTAAGCTAGTAGCTTTATGTAACACTCTAGTGTCTTGCCCCAACCAGAAATTGCAATTTAGGCAGTGGTGAGAACCGATGCCCATGTAAAAGACAAGCCTGGTTCGTGTTAGCTATGTACTTAAAAAAGAGTCCCAGACCCATGTTTATGGCCTTTGCAGTGGTGTTAAGTCAGCAGCGACTGGAAGGACTGGAGAACTAACAGTTGGCCGCGCATGGGCTGTACTCTTTTAAATTCTACTAATCGACCAAAAAGCAAATAGGCTCTTGGAGAGAGCAAAGCATGCAACAACAACAACAACAAGAACATTAAACAAATAATAGGATACCGAAAATATTGATTAAAAAAACACTAAAGTTTATATTAACGGCAGGTGGCTTTGAGCAGACATGGTAACCAGTTCTATTTTAAAACCTATTGTGGTTTGTCCTCAAAACTTGCGTTACTGCGACTCGAATTCCTATGAGAGATAAACACATTTTATTTTGAAAAAAAGGCTCTATTCATTGAGTTCACGAGATAAATTAACAAAATACAGAATAATCTAGAGGTTTGCATAAAATGTACGTCTATTACGTAGACAGTTTGGTCTCTGTATTTCAATTTCTTTTCGCGTGGGGTAGCGTGCTAGAAAACACAGTACAGTATAGGATAGTGCGAGACTATAAAGTAAAAAATATGTTCGAGCACCGTGCAAGCAAACCTACCGGTTGGACCGGATCAGTCATTGTGTTTTCAGCATTCAGCTGGTCATTGTCAGTTACGGGGTTTGGTGGGAGCGGATATTTGGAGACGCCTTCCTTTGAGGGGGATCCACCAACTGAAGGCAGGTCATCGGCCTGCGCATCTTCGCGTTTTTCTAGTAGAGTGGAAGTAGATAGGGGGAGTATTAATTGTGGTATCATATCATCTGCATTAATTGCAAATGCATCATCTCATAGACGCAGATGCCTCCAGATTTAGACCATTTCTCAGCTGCTAGTAAACACTAAATGTTGTCATAGGAGTATTCCGGCTCAGACAAAGCACCGTGATATAGCTATTTCG